CCCTCCCCACCACCACATAGTACCCTATAATAGTGACAGGGAACAAAGTTTTAAATTGTTTCTCTGAGGTTCAGATGCCTCATCTGTAAAAGGGGAATAATTAGAACCAACTTATCTTTTTACAATTTTTTTAAAATTTTCTTACTTTGTTGTAGTCCCCATAGTTCTCCCATCACCAGTGAACCATCACCATATTCCCTTGTAAAACCTACTTTTTAAAGGTGATGTAATAATGTAAGTTTGTAAAGTATTGACTCACATAGAGTAAAGGATGATTCATTCTCTTCCACTTCACTTTATGGCCTTTTATGAAGTATTCCTTTGCTAACCTCAGTAGCTCTTTGGACTCTAAAAATGAAGCTTAGTTAGATAAGCTTCAGTGGTGAGATACATTTTAGCTCTTTCATCCAATAAAGTAGACTGCAGTGGTTTTTGAACAGAGCTTACCTACTTCTTTCAGCCAACATTTTTGAAGGCCTCTAATTTATAAGAAATGGTTAAAGTACCTTAGAAAAAGGATAATTTGTCATCTCTAAGATACAATATCAGGGCCTCCCCTGTGGCGCAGCAGTTGAGCGCTGGGTTGCGAAGCTGCCTGCAGCCTCTGCAGTGCTGGTTCGATCCCCAGCCACCAGGTGAGGGTCCCATATGGCGCACAGAACTCTCCTGCCGTCTGCTGCTCCCCTCAGCAGTGTACTTCAGTCCTTCTGCCTGTTCTGCTCCCTGCTCTGGCTCTGGTGAATTTTCTCACCCTCCCACGCTTCTGACTATACCCAATGATTGTATAAACAAATAAATAAATCTTTAAAAAAAGGGATATAATATCAAGGAGTTCCTCACTTTACACATTATCCAGTGCTCTGGATTAAGGCATTGAAAATCTCAATTCTGAAAAAAAAGAAGGAACCAAACTCACATTGTGGGAGTAAAGTTGTTTAACGATGAACATCACACCAAGTGAACATGACTTTGATCAATTAACCAACTACCCTGGAAGAATTTAAAACTTTTGAATAAAGAACAGATAGATTTTGATACGTGTGACAACATCTTTCTTTCAACAAACTTGAGGTTTTGCTGTATGCCAGACAACACCCAGGCCTAGCCACTTGAAGACACAACTTGGACCCTGCTAGGCTGGCTACCCTTGCAAAGAGTTATGGACATGTTCAGTAAAGAGGGCGAAGGAGATAAAGATATCAGCTAGAAAGTGAGGGACTGGCCTGAAATGGTAAAGATTACCTGAAAGACCATTTTGCCTAGTGCAGCTTTGTGTGTGAGCTATTTACCCACCCACTCCGGGAAATCTGGAAAAGTAATCAAGAAATGGCTTAGTTTCTTCTGCAATGTGGAAAAGCGCATCATCAAGCCATTGCAAGCTCACTGGAGAAAAAAGTTTCAGATGCATGAGGAGTAATATGCTTCTCTAGACATGTCACTATCACTTAGGCCACATAATGTGAAAATACCAAATTTACACTGTTTAACATTCACCGGCAGTGAAACTTGCAGTTGCAGACACTTTAAATGTAAGTTTCACTTTCAGTGAATGTTAAACAGTATAAATTTGGTATTTTCACTTACATTTAAGGTGTCTGCAACTGCAGGGCCTCTCTGGTGGCGCAAGTGGCAAAGCTACAGCACTGTGAAGTTTTCCGCAGCTTCTGCAGCAGACCTCTCCTGTTTCACTCGCTGCTCCCCTCAGCAGTGTATTTCACTCAATCTGCCTGTTCTGTTCCACACAATGTCTCTGGTGAATCCTCTCACCCGCCCAACCCCCTGCGTCCCGGCCTGTACTCCAGTTCTTGTATGCATAAATAAATCTTTAAAAAAAAAAATAAAGTGTCTGTTACATGTGGACCTTTAAATTTAAATTAATTACAGTGACACATAATTTAAAACATAAATCACAAATTTAGTTCTTTGGTCTCACTAGTTACATTTCAAGTATTCCAATAACCACATGTGGTTAGTGGCTGTCATACTGGACAGCAGTCATGCAGAGCTTATCCATCATATCCATCATTGGAGAAAGTTCTCTTGGACAGCAAAGGGTTAGTTTTGCCGTTAATCTGTTTATATGCTCTGCTGTACTATGGTGTCTTGTTAATTCTCAAAAATAAGCACAAAGGGTTTCATTCCCATTTGGCAAATGTGGAAAGAACCTATGTCCTTTTTCTTTTTCTTCCTTCCTCCTAGAATATGACTGTACTCTCTTTCAAACAGTGAAAATAAAACAAAATGAAAATAAGAAACCAATTCTGGGCCAAGCCAGCAAAACCTGTTGATGGACCAAATTTGGGCCCTGGATGTGTGATGTTAGACCTCTGCTTTCCCTGCAATGATTCCCATATTTGATGAGATGTAGATGACACTAAAAAACAAAAACAAACAAACAAAAAACCCAAAAGAATAAATATTATGACGCTAGAACACTGTCTTGATAAAAATGAATGTTATAGTGCTTTGTTTTCCCCTCTATCAATATTCTTAAAAACAGGAAAGTAAACAGATGCTTCTGCTTTAGTACAGCTTATTAAGTATTTGGCAATAGTAAAGCTTTTTAAGTAGTTTTGAAATTCTTACAATCTTGCTCACATTTCAAAATAGAATCTTTAAGTCACTTGTGTGCTCGGAGATGATTGAATGCCAGGATTTGAAAAGTCGTCAAAGGTGTATCAGGAAATTAGCTATCTCCTGGTGTCAACAGTAGATTGTGTATTTTTACTGTTTGACTCATTGCTCCAGTGGGCAGCCTGCTTTCCTGTGAACTATAGTCATTAGCCTTCCCCAGCACATGTTCTCAGAACAAGGCGAGTACCTCCTTCCTGACTTCCTGCATCAAAATCACTTTATGGTCCCAACATCTTCACTGGCAGCCAGTCAAATACTTTGAAACAGTTGAGCTCACACATCACATTTCAGCAAAACCTAGGGTTAGCTCAGAATGTTTTCATATGTATTTTAGAGATATTGTTTCCTTTTTCTCTTCATCTGAATTTTATGCAAGTGAACCTATGTTTGGACAAAGGGGATGTTCTAAGGCAATTCTTTTAAAGGTTTTCAAGATAACTCATTTGAAAGCAATAAGTATATATATATATATATAAAACAACCACCCAGTAATTACCCATTTGAAGGTCCAGATTTTTTCCCAGTAGAATTGAAGAGAGAAATTTGGTTATAATATATTTAACAAATGCATTTCTTCCATAAAGGAAACTTTCAACAATGCTATATAAAGTGTATAGGGTTGGACACATTGCAATAATCAATCTTAGAATGTGTTTTTATGCAGTCAATTCAATAAGAAAAATGCACAGAGTTCAAAATGGGCTACTATACATATATCTTATAAGTGAGTTGAAAATGATAAGACTTGGAACCTCCCTGGTGGCACAGGGGTTAAAGACTGCACTATCAAACTGTTGCCAGCCACTGCAGCACGAGGTCAATTCCCTAGCCAGCCAGGGAGGTGACCCACATGTCGCAGCAGACCTTTCCTGCCTTGCCCGCTGCTCCCCTTAGCAGTGAATTTTAGTGGATCTGCCTGTTCTGCTCCCCACTCTGTCTCTGGTGAATCCTCTCACCCCCCTGCACCTCTGACCTGTACCCCAGCTCTGTTGAACTACCGGAGTTTAAGTCCCATCTTTTTCACTGCCACAAGCATCTCACCCCAAACCAGTGCTATATTGAGTGCTCAATAACTAACCACTGTCTGTTAAATCTCATCCCATTCAATCCTATAAATTAGGCAATATCCCCATTGTACAGAATTTCAAACTTTAAAATCTGCTTAAAGTTTTCTGAAGTGGAATGCAGAGATAGAAGTTAGAAACAGTGTTCTACTGAGCCCTCCAGTAAAACCTCTAGCCAAAGTTATTGTTCCAGGCTGCCTGAAAATCTGAGCTGGGATTTTTTTTTTTACAGTGGGAAGGATCACCCTGGCTATAATGATATCCTTTATGGAGAGAGCTAAGCTGCTCTCAGAGGCAGCATATTCACAAAACATATAAACAAACAAACCCTAATACTTCTAAGTTTAGTTTTGTTTAAAGGGCTCATTCCAGCAGTCAGCCATTCTGAGACCTATATTTTGCAATGGAAAACAAATTCTTAGCTATATATGGATAAGTCTGTGCTTTTCAAAACCAGTGCATGATTTATGAAACAGGCCAAAGACACCTGTTCTATCAGTACCTCTGTTATGTCATCATCTATGTAAATATCAACTGCTAATCCTGGTTTAAGCAAATTGTAAGGATGACATTCCTTTAGCAACCATAAGACAAATTCGCAGTTTTGTGCTTGTTTTTCACTTTTGAACTAGCCGCCATGGTTTTCATCTCTTCTGATAACATGAACACCAGGTGATGCTGGATGTGCCTTTTGCCACATCTGTTAGAGTGGATTACAGTGTTGTTCCAATAGCATAGTGACCAAGTATAGCTGATGTAACACAATGATTGAAGTTTTAATAGTGGAACAGTTCAGTGGTGTTGACACTGAAATTGGAAAATCAATTTGCTAATGTAGGTTTCTGCTTTATTTTATTAAAATCTTAGACAAATGAAACATCTGTAAGCCAAGATATAGGGAGATTTTAGCTCTTATAATTGGCTGAGTCTTTTCTCCCTTAGATGTATACATAAAAGAGAGGATGAAATGAAACTTCAGTTTTGTAAATGAATAAAGGCTTAATATAAAGATAGCACAAACAAGAAGAATTGGGGCTGAATATCACATAATTTTCATTGCAGTTTACTTCCTAGCACTTAATCTAGTCAAAATATTTTCCTTCACAACATTGCTACCTTCTGAATTACTCAGATGCTTAACTATATTCTGCCATCCAAATTTATATCTGCAGTAAGGCACAGAATGTACGCATCAGATTCCATGCAAATGGAAAGAGTTCGCTCCAGGATACTGTTATGGATGTGACAATTTAAGAAGCTCCACATCACCTCATTCAAAATGTTCTGGGTTTTCCTTTCTAGGGTTCAGCAGATTCCTACACGAGCAGGCCGTCTGATTCTGATGTCTCTTTGGAAGAGGATCGAGAAGCGATTCGTCAGGAGAGAGAGCAGCAAGCCGCTATCCAGCTGGAGAGAGCAAAGGTGACATTCTTTTCCCCTCTTTGGTTCCAAAGTGACAAGTGGTTCTGAAGGTATCAGCTGCTTTTTCCTGCCTCACATTTCTTGGAAACATTTTATGATCATCCTGACGAGGTACCAGTTTAAAGGACTTTCACAATGTTCCAAGGAATCCACTTCTTGAGACTCTAACCCTTCGATTCATCCTTTTATGTTTAGTCTGGTGGTGAGTTGTTAGCCAGCTTCCAACCTGGCAATTGTGGCCAATATCCAGTTTACCACGTCCCAGTTTGGCAGAGTCTCCAAAGGTACCAGTTTGCTCCACCTGTCCTTGAGCCGTAGTTCTTGATGACATCAGCTTTCACCACACCTGTGCTCTGCTAGTCTCCTGTTTTCTTTGTTCGTTCCTCTTGGTTTCAATGTCCAGCCTCAAGTGCAGCGTGAAGTTCAGTACTTTGAACAATGGCTAGAAGTTCAGCCAAGACAAGGCAACACAAGACATTGTCAAAACAGACCTTGAGATATCCACAGGGAGAGGTCCCCATAGCAGTCTCTATACCTACCCATAGGAGGCAAGAAGACTGCATTTTTGAATGTTAGAACCAGAAATGTCTTTGGAGAGCTCCTTTCCATGTCTTTAAAACTTTTTTTTCTTTTCAGTATAGACCGCTTTGTCAAATGAAATATTATACACAATTCCAAAATATAAAAACAGGGTTCATGGCCTGCCTTCTCTTCTTTGCTCTTCATGACAGTCTGCTAGGAGTCTTTCTAATTTTTGAAAGAAACCTTGAAGCTTCAATAAAGTAAATGCTTTGCTTTTTATATATTTATAGTAAAATCTTTAAGAGAGAAATAAGTGGAATATGATTCAGGCACATGAGGTGTCTTCATCTGCTTTGACACCTAGGGTATATGCTTGTTTGGTGGAAAAGCGTTTTGGCCAGTGTCTGTGAAGGAAATTGTGAGACTCCAACTCGTCCCATTGTTAGGGGGAAAGGATGTCCTGAGATAATCTCATACAGTCAGGCACCCCGTTTTGTATCGGGGTTGCTCTACAACACCATCAGCAATGAATTACCCAGTAGCTAAGCAGTCTAGGACTGTAGAAACCTTGAGTTTGTGCCAATTTTTGTTTTACCTTTCTTTTGGACTCTCTTTTGTGGCCATTGTGGTTACTCAAATATCAGTAGCAGCCCTGTTAGCTTTCACTGTGGTTTGCTTAGTTTCTATGAGACTGTACCAGCCCAAAAGCACTTGCAGGGGAGGAATTTGTATAAAAAGAGTCAACAACCTAAGTGCCCAACAGCAGAAGAGCAGAGCATTTATTTGTACAGGAAGGAATACTACCCAGCAATAAAAATAAGATGAACACTTGTCTTTTGCAAAGACATGGGTGGATCTGGAGGGGACTATGCTAAGTGAAATTAGTTAGAAAGAGAAAAACAAATACCCAATGATTTTACTCATATATGGGACATAGAGGGAAAAAAAAAAAAAGAACTGGCAAAACTAAGCCAAGTATAACTATAGAACTGAGGCTACTAGAGAGGGAGAGAGGGTATGAACAAAGTGGGAGGCAACCCAGTGGACTCTGGTAAAGGACTATGGGTACTTTGGTGGTGGGTGTGGTGTGTTGACATACATCTGAGGTATGAACCTGTAACCCTATATCATATACAGTATAGTAGCCAGTGTTACCTCATTTTCAAATAAAAAGGAAATATTAAACAATATTAGTATAATTGTAGCTAAATAAATCTAAATTTTATTCCCCCATCCCCCCAAAAAAGAGTTTGAAGCCAACTTTTGTTCTGGAAGGAGAAGGTGATGTGCAGCTCTGCTCTTCCTGTCTAACCCTGACTGGCCTTTCTATTCTTTCTTTCTCTGGCAGGACAAGGTATTCCACTGAGTAGGGGACATAGATTTCAGATCGGATGCTATTTCAACAATATTTATTTTAACCCCGCTTCACCTTCTTTTTAAAACCCAGCATACATTTCCTGTATCCCAAGGGCGGGGATGTCTGTTATCATTTCAAATAGCAAACTTAAGTTTCATGACTAACAGAACAAAGCAGGCTACCTTTCCACCCCTCTTCAGTATTTTAGGGCACAGTTCTTTGGGGGTATTGGAAAATACCTACAGGAGGGGAAAATGGCTGGGCCAATAGGACTGTGTCATTTTTAGAGTCATCTGTAGATTTCTCATTGCTGCCTGGGAATGTAAAAGCTGCTTTGATCCCTCTTTGAAAAACTTCTTTCCTTACTATCTGTACTATTAATTATCTTGTTTGTTTCAATATGAAAAATTCTCCTCTGTCTTCCTCCCTCCATGCTTATTTCATGATTCTGTCCTCAGTCCAAACCTGTGGCATTTGCCGTGAAGACGAACGTGAGTTACTGTGGCGCCTTGGACGAGGATGTGCCTGTTCCGAGCACGGCCATCTCCTTTGATGCCAAGGACTTCCTACACATTAAAGAGGTAAATATAGGTCATTTTGTGTCCTTTGACCTTCCACAAGGTCCTGGCCAGCAGTCGGCTCAGAGCCAAACTAAACAAAAAGGAGCCCTGAGAGGCTGCCAATGTGTTACCTCATTTACTTTGTTAGACCTTGCAGATCCGTTCATTCTCACTGAGACTTAAAAGCCTGAGATCATTGCTTGCATTATTACACATTTAAGGTATTCACTCACAATCAGCAGTGGATGGGTAGAGGACAGATCTGTGGCCCTCTGATCACCTTTTAATCATCTTGAGTAACTGCATAGCCATAAAAGAAAGTGTTAAAACTAAGAAAATGCACCTGATTTTGGGGAAACAGAAAACTTAATAGATTGAGCAGTACAAGGAGGACTTTGAGTGTTCACACCTCAAAAAGTGGAATAATAACATCAGAAATTTTCATTAACCCATCTACTTATGTCAGATGTTGGCAATCGTGGATCAGAAATGAAGCCTCACTGTTCCACCCCCAGGGAGCTCCAGTCTGGTGGAAGGAACTGACAAGTGCACGGTTTCTGCATTGGATGACAGTTTCCTCTATAGTAAAATTGTATTGGTGTTGTGGGAAAGAAAAAGCAGGAGGGATGAGCTGACTGGGAGGGAGGCTCAGGAGGCCAGAAAATTCTCCAGAAGCAGTGAAGTGTAAGGATATTCAGGCTGGGGGAGGGTAGAGGTAACATCAAGTGAAAGTGAGCAATGCACTGAGCAATGCAGCCAGAAGCAATGCAACGTGCCTGGAGGCTGGAAAGTAGGGAGTAGTACAGGGGATGGGCCAGGTCAGAGGGGCAGGGTCCAGATAAAATAGGACCTTTAGGCCCTGACAAGACCCTGGACTTTATCACCAGGCAATGTATTGGAGAAGAATTTTAGGTAAAGGCCAGATGTGACAGCCTTGTGTTGTGGAATGATAACTCAGATGGTGGAGAGGGTGTCACAAAAGACTGGAAATCATGGTAGGAGCTAGAGAGAAAGTTAAGGGAAAATAGACAGTATTGGGAAACTTCACAGGGGCGAAGAATACTGGAGAAAGTGAGACAGAGGAAAATGAAAGGAGGCCAGTTTTTCCAGCTTACTTGAAAGGGTGGAGAGTGGTGTCAACTAGCAAACAAAGAAGGCCAAGAGAAGAGACATGTTACAGGGAAGGCCTTTCTGCAAATGTGACCATTAAGCACAGACCTGAGAATGAGGAGGAGTTAGCTTTCAAAAGAACAAGGGGAAACCTTCTAGGACGAGGAGAGTATGTGCAAAGACTCTGAGGTAGGAAACTTGTCTGGCACAATCAGGTAACTGGAGAAAGGCCAAATGACTGGAATGCATTGAACTAGGAGCCTAGCAACAAGAAATAAAGTTTTAGACACAAGTGGGCACAGTTAAGTAGCACCTTACTATGATGGTGAGACTTCAGATTTTATTCTAAATGTAATGAGAAGCCATTGAAATCATTAAAGGCAGAGGAATGGGATGAAACATTTTTACTTTATTTTATTTTACCACCATAATGGGATGAAATCTTTTCAAGGTTACTCTGACTGTTCTAGGGACAGTGGTTTGCAGTGAGATATGTTTGGTATCGGGGAAATGATTAGAATCATTCTAGGTGAGAGACAATGGGATTGAGCCTGCATGGTGGCAGTGAGGTGGAGAGAGGTAGACAGACCTGATATATATTATGGAAATCCGATGAAGAGCACTAGTGATGGCTCCAACATTAGGAACCAAGATTGAAGGAGAAATCAAGGATGATTAGGAAATCAGGGTTTAAGGAATTAAGCAACTGGGGTTGAAATGACTAGGGTGGGGAGAGGACAGATAGGGAGGGAGGCTGGAGAGTAGGAATCTGAAAGGAGATATCAACTAGAAAGTTTGTTAGCTGAAAGAAGACACTGAGTCAAACATAAATTTGAGTTTATACTGTGGTAATGAAGTCACCTAAGGAGAGAGTAAAGGACCAGAGAATGCTCTTGTTCAAACCCAAAGGAATTCCATCCTGGAGAGGTGGGGCACAGGAAAAGAATTTTAAAAATAAGGAAATGGGAAAGAAGAGGCCAGAGAGAGAGGAGGAAAATCAGGGCAAAGAAGTGCATGGACATCAAGAGAGAAGAGCATCCAAAAGGAGGAAGCACTCAACTACGGAGAACTTCGTGATGTTTCATTTCAAATGAGGAGTGAGAGATCTCCCTGGTGGCACAGGGGTTAAAGTCTCAGAGATATCAAACTATTGCCAGCCACTGTGGCCTGAGTTCAATCCCCAGCCAACAAGATAACCCATAAGGTTCAGCAGACCTCTCCTGTCTCGCCCTCTGTTCCCCTCAGCAGTGTATCTCAGTAGATCCACCCATTCTGCTCCCCAATCTGTCTCTGGTGAATCCTCTCAGCTCTCACACCTCTGGCCTATACCCCAGTTCTTGTATGCATAAATAAATAAAAATAAATCTTTTTTAAAAAATGAGGAGTGAAGAATGGACATTGGATTGGCAACATGGTAGTCAGTGGCATGAAAGCATTGGGACATTGTCTGGAATTAAGCAGAAGGGAAGCTGAATGAGGAGAGAAGGGGAGTTAGGAAGTGTATTTAGTATGTGTGGACCATGCTTTCAAGGAAGTTGACACCAACAAGGCAGTAGACTGAAGAGGATATGAAATTAAGAGAGATTTTCTTTCAAGATGGAAACCATTGGAGCAACTGTGCATGCTGATGTACAGTGAGGGAGAAATTGATGGAAAAGTAAAGGTTGGCAAAAAGAGTAAAGTTTTTGAGTAGGCAGTAAAGGTGGGCTGCTGACACCAAGTGGAGGGGCAGATCTTTGATAGAAAGGTGAGCACTTACTCATTGTAACATGCAGGAAAAAGATAAGTTCAGGCACAGACAGATTGGAGCCCAGGTTATAGGAAGTTGGGGAAACATCAATTTTTAGCTCTGCTTTCTTGTGAGTGAGGCAAAAATGTCTCCATCTTCCTAGAAGACAAGGACCCCCAACCTTCAGCTTGTGCCAAGGCATATGAATGGCTACATTAATTTTTGTCCCACCATTCCCATCAAAAATGACCAAACTATATTCGTTAGTGGCTAATACCCATTGTTTCCAAAGAGAAGCAGCCCTTTAAAAGGTAAGACAAGTTCTCACATGTTTCATACATGCTCTTTCACACCAGTATTCCCTGTAGTATTTCATTGCTTTCCTCCATTCTGTCAGTATTCTCAGTTTGTCCTGCTGGATGCTTTTTGATCTACATGCTCATAGATCTGTGACTTTCTCTTCATTCTGACACTCTGGTGTATAATATTGAACTGGTAGCCCTATGTGGATTAGTCACTTGTTTTTAGATCTGGAGAATATCAGATAAGAAAACAGAAAGAGAAAGCACACATCATTTAAGGAAATAGAAATGAGAAGGATTGGAAGAATATTAAGGGGATCATGCCACAAATTAGCACATGCTCCGTATCAACACAAATTTCTATAGTCAAGTTGTGGCCTTTCCTCTCATCCATTCCCTAAAAGACCATCTACTATTCATGGTTTTAAGTACTTTCTCAGTAATGAAAAGCTTAACAGCTTAGAAAAATTACAGTTCTCCTTATTACGTACACCAAATGACTAGCTAATTAAGCTCTAGAAAGTACATGGCAACTTTCTCTTAACTAACCTCAAAGAGCTTTCATTTACATTGAGTCAGATTCTCATTGTGCTTTAGCTGTTTCCTAGAACTAAGTTAAAGCAGAGTGGGAAGTTGCATTAACCATTTTAGGAAGCTCTTTAAGGTCACTTGGGTACCATTTAATAAATTAGTGTTCCAGTGGGTTAACTTAATTTCAGGAAATAACTCAAGCCCTAGGAAACTATGACTCATAGTCTGTTTTGTCCCTTCCACAGTAAAATTTAGATTCCAGACCAAAGATTCTAAAAAGGTCCTCTTGTTTTTTGTTAATTCCAAAATAAACAAGCCTGTTGTTTCAGATCTGTTATCCTGAAATAAAAGTCAGGAAGATAGGGGAAACTAAGACTTAGTTGTTCAAGATTTTATATTAGGTCGACTCACATTTCTTCGGTGCAATCTCATACTACATGCCATGGGCGCCTGGCATAGGAACTGTGCACATAATAAAGCAAAATCCCCAAAGCATATCCTTTTGCTTTTGAGTGTGTGGCTGTTAATCCAAATTATTCACTTTCATGGAATTTCATGCTGCGGTGATTCAATGAAACCAACCATTCCTCCTTCACACAGTGCCAATGTCGTACACATATAAATTCCACTTTTCTCTGAGCTAAACAGTGGGATATAATAGTTACTACATTTTGAAAAAATAGATATATTCTTTAAATCAAAGAGTGAAAGAGTCATTTACCCAACACTAGTACAGACCGGAACGGAAATTTTCAAAATCCTCTCTGGAGTACATGAACAATAGAAATCTCTACTTTCTAGAAGTCAACCTAGCTGAAATCTTTTTTTGAGGCAGGTGACATGGAATAAATATGCCATCTTGCCTGGGATTCATCACATTGGGAATTAAAATACAGATTTGCTGACTCATCAAATAGAACTCCATTGACAAAGTCTCACAGCATATTGGCTGAAGATTTTGTGTTGACTTGTTTTTCAAGTTTACATGTCACGGTGCTTTATTTAAATGGAAATCCCAGCATTCCTGTTGCACTTCAGGCCATTTGGAGATTATTTCAAAACTTCATCATACTAATCATATGATATGTTTAGCCTTTGTAAAAGTAGGTTTCCTCAGGCAGTGAGATGGAGCTTAATTTTCACACCTAAACTTGGAGTATTATAATTCTTCCCCAGTGAGAGTTGATTACAGACAATATTGTGGAATCTTTACATGAAAACTTTTGACAAATAACAAACAAATGAATATATTTCATCTCAGACTTGCCTATCTTGTCTTCCAGAGTTGCAATACATTGATGCATATTTATTCTTATGAAACCTATTCCTTAAGAATTGACTAGGACTTCTTGAAAAAGACTGAAGGAATTCAAGGTTAAGACCTGACATTAGCCCATGCATTGGCAAACAATGGCCCACAAACTGAATCTGGCTGCTGCCTTTTTTGTAAAGAAACGGATCATGGTTTATTGTGAGTGAGCCATGCTTGCTTACTTATGTGTTTAAAATCTTAAATATTTACTATCTGAACTGTTAGAGAAAAAGTTTACAGATCCCTGCTTTAGTCTATGGATGCATATGTATCATAAGTAGTTTCTATGTATAAAGTATAATACATAATATAGTAGATAACTATATAGTATGAATAGAGTTTTGTTCTTCTGGTTCCCTGAAATTAAGTAATGGAAAAAAAGTGAATTGCTATTGATAATGAGCTTTATTTCTGCATTCCAGAAATACAACAATGATTGGTGGATAGGAAGGCTAGTGAAAGAGGGCTGTGAGATTGGCTTCATCCCGAGTCCACTTAGATTGGAGAACATACGGATTCAGCAAGAACAAAAAAGAGGACGTTTTCACGGAGGGTAAGGCTCCTTCTTGTCTATAAATGCTTTTTTTTTGGGGGGGAGGGTAGGGAATGAGATGATACTTTAAGGTTTGCTTATTATAAAGTTAAAATGTAAGCTTTTAAAGTTAAAGATATTTTTTGTGTACAAGTTGTTTCTGAAATTGACACAAAGGAGTTTCAGATTGTTCATTCGCTCCATTGCATACACCTGACATCAACTGACATCAACATGATTTCTGTAGTGGACTCTTCTGCAGCCTCAGCAAACACTCCTTGGAACTGAAGCTTTCCTCCATGAGAGTCAGATAGGGCATCCTGTCCCCATAGGATATTGACCTCACCTGTTGTCATGGTTCTTCCTGGTTAACTTTGAGCTTGCAATGCCATGGAGCACATGGGTTCCTATGCTAGTAGCACCTTCTCCCCGCTGGGTTTTTATAGCATATGCTATCTCTTGGTGATGGAGTGAACATAGACTGGATGAACCAACTTCTAGTTATCTAATGAAGTAGTCATATAGATCTTAGAGTGCAGGTATTTAAAGGTCTTAGGAATACAGGCAAAGCCCGAGAGAGGAGAAATAAGAATCATACTGAGCCTGCATAAATTGTGAAACTACAATGAAATCTTGATTTGAGATGTGTAATTATGACTGAAAAGCCTAAAATAGCTATTCTTCCTCTCAACTTCCCTTTTCTATCATACCCTCTTCTTTTTCAAAAACTCTTCTATTCTTTAGGGACTCTTTTGCCTTTGTCATAATTGGAACCTCTTAAATATTAATAGGGGATTTTGAAAATACAGTTATCCCCACTTATAGTTGTCAATATTTTAAATTCGTATGGCATACCTGAAGTATTATTATTAACCCCTTTTGTTCCTCTTCTCTAAACTTTTTGTCTCCTTGCTGCTCCTTGAACACATCAAGAACACATGTTCCTGCTCCAGGGCTTTTGCACTTGCTGTTTCTTCTTACTAGGGCCTTGTCATTCATATTTCTACCTGGTCCCTCCTTCACCTGCTTTAGATCTTTGTTAAATATCACCTTTTCAGTGACCTCTTTCCTGGCACACAATTTAAAACTATGCCCATTTCCCTTTCCTTACTTCCTATCCTGACATAGTTTCCTCTACTGCAATTATTACCATCAGAATACTACATAAAAACTATTCATCTTGTTTGCTACTGATCTCTCCTACCAGACCCTGCCTCTAAAAGGAAGGGGTTTTATCTCCCCCCTCACTGTTGCATTCCTGACTGCTGGAACGATGGACATAATCACTTTTAAGAAGAAATGCTTCTTCCAGTTCTGCTGCTTGTTTTGAGCTGTGTTGACTTCTGTCTAGTGCATTGGTGATGGTGTTAGTTAATTGAGCAGTTCACAAAAACATTCCTGACAGTGGTTCATTTGCCTCATTTCTGCACTGGATAACTAGGAGAGATACTTTTGCAAACTATTTCTAGGTCCCCATTTTCTCTGAGAAAGAAAACATTTAAATAGATTCTTGAAGTTCTTCTTTATAGCAAGGTTTGTTGTGTTTTGAATTATTTAGTAGGATAAAGGCCAAAGAAAGCTTTGTACTCTCCAGTTCTGTTTTCAAGGAGTCTGGAGAATGAGTCTTAAGTTTCTTTCCTATAACCTAGGAAATCCAGTGGAAATTCTTCTTCAAGTCTTGGAGAAATGGTATCAGGGACATTTCGAGCAACACCCACATCAACAGGTGAGGATTTTAGTTTTTTAAGGAATGTATTCCTTTCTTAATAATTGAACGTGCATGCAAGTGTTTTTACTAATTTAGAAATAATTCAAAATTTGACTTAAAGATTTTCCTGGGGTATTCCATTGCTCGTTTGGTTTCTATAGCAATTTGATTTGATTTAGAGTCTAAAAATTCAGATATTTATAATTTCAAAAAATCTTATTTACCCCCAGATGCAGTAATGTCCATTGTGTACAATGGCAAGTTCATTACTCCTCTCAAGAACCCAATAGACTTTAATATGTTGAGGGTATATTAAAAAGAAAAATAAGTTGTAGACGCTCAAGAATATGCTCTGTTCCAGTCTCCATGTAAAGTTTTAGGATGTGTTGTTAATGTCTGGGCTGTGGTGATCAGGTTGGGCCATGATCACCTCATTTCTTTTAGACAGAAAACAAGGAGGCTTGGAATTAATGGTAACAAAGGAACGTTATGGAGTGTTGTATGTTTGGAAATTATGGAGGTATTCAAGTGGGGACTTTTCTTCTATCACATTCCCTGATTCCTATACACTAATTTAATTCTGGCCTGGAATTAGTGCTGCATTGGGGCATCTGATATGACCAATTCAGAATGACAAGTCCAACAATTTCTCGCAGCCTACCATAACTGCAGGACACTTGGTTGGTTCTGGACTAGTTCTGAATATTTAGATACTGGTTTTGTGAATCCTTCCTGATCTCCAGAATTCTGAACCAAATGAGGTATCTGGGTTACCCCCAAAGGGGCTGGGCCTGCTTGGATCACCACAAAGCTACTTTACTCAAATATTGAATGCATTTTGCCTCATCCTTATTCATTAGAATTTTGGGCATTGTAATTTTCATTATTGCAAATAGGAAAGAGTAGGGATAACTGATTATAAACATATTTGAAATTAAGAGCAACAATCATAGAAAAATATGTGCATAATCTGGAAAATGGACAAAAAAGCTTAAGAACACACAAAGGACTGCAAAATTTTCTCATGGTTCACCAAAATTACAATCCAAATATAACTAGTAATAGAAGTGATAATCATGCCTGCCCAAGTTGCTATTCTAAGTTTCCTTTCATCAAATTTTATTTATCCAAGTTCTTCTCAGCCACATGTATGCTGTGTCCAGCAGGGGAATAATCCAAGATTTCCAGCTGGCCCAGAACTCCCCATACTGTTATGAGCCCCTGCCACCCTTCCTGCCCAGCATGAAATCAGAGTATTAGGTCATTCATGAAGGAAGGAAGTGGTCTGATTTTTTTTCATATGTCTTTAAAATTGGCTTATTTGGGATGAAGTAATAAAGTAGTACTCCAAAGAGTGGGTTATGATGAGAATTGCAGGGACAAATTAGTACATTCTTCCATCTTTTAAAATCATGTACTATCATTTACAAAGATTACATATTTTGATATGGCTCTCATTGTTGTCTTTTAGCAAAACAGAAGCAAAAAGTGGTAAGTTGTGTTTCCTTCTTAAATCTACTGTTAAGGTTCCTGTCCATACTTGCCTGCAATGCTCCATTTCAGTGACCCAAGTGGCTATGAAATAAGGGATGAGCCTCCTTGGTGGGAACCTGTGGCAATTGTTCCTCACTTGCTGTGAGATCATGAATGTGGTGGCTTTGGAAGAGGCATGCTTATTCTCACCCTGTCATGCTTGTTGAACCATCTCTTTCAGACGGAGCACATCCCTCCTTACGATGTTGTGCCATCCATGCGTCCAGTGGTCTTAGTGGGGCCGTCACTGAAGGGTTATGAGGTACAAATATCGCACTGTTATGCTTCAGTTCTTGGTCAAGAACCTGGGAGACAGCCACTTGGGTTTGCTCCTCTAGGACCTGTTTACATACAGGAGCCAGTGGAGCCAACTCTCATCATATAAGGCGGGGGGAGCAGCCTGTGTTCTTTCTTCCCTCTCTCACACACTTCTGTCCTTTATGCATAACATTGTTCAGAAAACTCCCCCTGAAAACACTAGTAATGGTTGTGATCAAAAGTTTGCTCTGTATTAAATATAAAGAAAAGGACTTATCTGTATCCAGTGCTCCGTGATTATTAGAAATAATCAAGTATGAGCAACACAAGATAACATAGCACTCTGCCAGCAAACCTACATCCTCAAAGCACCAACAATCTCACCTTGCTATGTGCTCAAGACACAGCATAGTACACCAAATATTTCTCTGCTTATTTATTTTAAAAGACATAAATAAGAAGGGGGGAAAACTCCAACAAAAATATTGATGAACCTCTCCAGAGATTAAATAATACTTTATGAGAAGGAAAAGAGTGAAGAGTAAAGACTTAGATTTCAGATGTTGCTCTTTTGACTTTGTGTGAGCATAGCTAAGAATAAGAGTGATGGGACATTAAAATCTGAAGGTGGCAACCTCAGGGCACCTCTCCCACTCTCTTAGGGCAATGTCTGACGCATCGTGGGCATTCCGTACACATATGTTAAATGAACTGATGACTCTCTAAGAATCCCACCTACCTGTCTCCTTCCCTCTTCCATTCCCTTTCCCCCTCTTCCCTCTTGTCCCTTCCTCCTCCTGTCAGGGTTGAATGTCAAAGGACAGAGCTGGAGAATGGTCCACAGAAATCCAGCCTTGGGCCTGGAGAATATCCACCCGTTCAGACTAGCAGAACAGTTGAACCTAGATCTGGCCTGAGAGTCTCCACCTGCCCTTTGTTGGGGGCAAGCACAGCCAGCCGGGTCTGCTAGCCCCTTATAAGGGAAGAAGGCTTGCCCTGGGTCTAGTGTACACTGCTGGTTCATTCCACAACACCCTGGGGGAAAAACTTGGGGGAAACTTAGCAACTCTGCGTGGTTAAGAATGAAAACACTTTCCACTACAATTACCTACCCCTCGGAGAGGATCGGCTGTGATAAGGTCTTTGCTCAGCACAGCGCCCTTCCCTTCCACCTCTCTCACTTTTGACTTCTCTCTTTCTCTCTGCGTGTGTTTGCCTCATTCTTTTTTTCTCACCTCTGCAAAGGTAACAGACATGATGCAGAAAGCCCTCTTTGATTTCCTGAAGCACAGGTTTGATGGGAGGTGAGACATATATAGATGTTTTTGTATTTTGTTTTCCTTTAACGAAACATGTGATAAATTGATTTGTGGTTCTGTTTCCAATGATTGCAAAAGTTTTCTAAGTGGAAGAGTACAGTGTTAAAGCTTTGAGTATAAGAAGTTATAAAGTATAGCATTGAATCCCCAAAAGAAAGGGACTTTGAGAAGGAAAATAATCTATTGGTTTAATTTAAATGCATGTGTTTGACTTTATTTTCTCACTTGGTTGTGAATTCATACCAAACTTGAATGGAAAATATTAATTAAAATATAGACTATTTCTGATAAATAGGGTGACTCACTGTTCAAGCTGTGTGTGTGTGTGTGTGTGTAATACAGGTATGCATAATAAAATACTGAATTTCCTCAGAAGAAGAATATAAGAAATATTTTCCCAAAGAGTACAAGGAAAGTCTCCCTAAGTAACTATTTTGTAGGGAATAATAGTTCTTTGGATGCTTAGTACTGGGTTTATTTTTTAATTAGGAAATATTTTGTTATTTTATATGTATTCCACCATGGCCCAGTGAAATGATAAAAAGTCCATTTGATTCAATATTCAGTATTAAACTCTTTCATAATGCAGAATACTCTCCATATAAAAATAACCATGTGCAGAAACCTGAAACCTTTTTAGAAATGAAGAAAACATAAATATTATATATTGAGAAGTATGGGTAAATGCATTCAACTTACCAAATATTTAAGAATTTGAAGGTATTGGGCCTCCCCTGGTGGTGCAGCAGTTGAGCGCTGGGTTGCGAGGCTGCCCGCAGCCTCTGCAGTGCCAGTTCGATCCCCGGCCACCGGCAAGGGTCCCACAAACACACACACACACACACACACACACACACACAAAAAGAATTTGAAGGTATTTTTAAAATATTTTTAAATATCTTCAAATAAATTTTAATAAACAGTATTTTAAGAAAAAAATTGATTATGCTTTAAGTTCAAATTGTATATGTTTGTCAAAAGAAGAATCTGTTGAATAATAGTGTTAAAATATTCATTAATTTCTGGGACTATGTACAAAGAAGATAGTTCCAATAATTAAGATTTTATTTTATTTTTTTAAAGATTTATTTATTTATTTATACAAGCACTGGGTACAGTCTGAAGGGCGGGAGGGTGAGAGAATTCACCAGAGCAGGGAGCAGAGCAGGCAGAAGGACCGAAGTACACTGCTGAGGGGAGCAGCGGGCGGCAGGAGAGGTCTGCGCGCCATGTGGGACCCTCCTCTGGTGGCTGGGGAGCAGCCGGGGATCGAACTGGTGCTGCAGAGGCTGCAGGCAGCTTCGCAACCCAGCACTCAACCACTGGGCCACCGGGGAGGCCCTAATTAAGATGTTACGTCAAGAATCAGATTGCTTCAGTGCCACTTGTAAATTGCTAACTTCATTATATCATTAGTGTTAGCATAGGTGGCGTAACAACTAAACTTCAAAATGTATAATGATTCAAACACAGTGGAAGTGAGTTGTTGCTCATTTAACAATCTAACATGGGTTCTCCTCAGCTGGGGTGGGGGGAACAGAGTGGGAGAAGGGAGGATTGGGCAGAAAGTTTGTTCTGTCATTTGGGGCCTTCAGCCTGAAGGTGGGGACAGGATCATGCCACACTGAGGTGGTACACATTGATTTTCACATTTTACTGGTTAGAACTTGTTCTCATGACCACACCTAATTGCAAGGGAGGCTGGGAAGTAGTCTAGCCATGTGTCCAGGAGCAAGAGGAAATAGATTTTGTTGAACAAATAATAATCTCTTCCACATTCATTTAGTAGACACAAAGGGCTAAGTAAGAAAGCCATGGTTTAATCTTACACCTTTCTTAATTTAAAAAATATGGGCAGAGAATGAAGTCATTTCAAAGAAAAGTGAAAAACACTGAATACTATAATATGGAAGTTGGAAGGAAATGTAAAATTTCTGTTATTCTAATCTTTCTCCAACAATCACAGATCAGAGATAAGCTATGTTTGGCAACTGGCAATTGGGAATTCACTTCCTAAAAACACATTACAAAGAAACAACTAAACTATGACTTTTTAATAGTGTTGGTCATGGTCTAGCCCTCTGATGACCCAGAAATAATGCTTTGCCATCATGCAGGTCTCCATGGATTGGAGGCAGCTAACCTGCATAGCTTGGTTTCCTATGGCCTTGGTCACACACACACATTTCCTTCAACTATGCTTAAAGCCACATAATTTTAACCTGTGGTATGAAGGAAGTTCAGCTCCTAAGCTGAACAAATCCCATACCATAACACAGCCTCAATTGTGTTAGATTATTTTGATCTCCACAGAGCATCCTTTTAAATGACAATGTAATTAAATGTTTGAAAGGTAGCACCAATGGAAAAGAGGAAAGAAGTTGTAATTTAGTAAAGAGAAAGTGAGTGATTTAATTATTGCCTTCAAGAATGAAAATCTGGTGTTCTTTAATGCTGAGGGCCAGAAAGAGGAAATGCGTTTAATTAAACCCTGAGTTTAGTAGAGTTGTCTGCATTAAGCACCTATACACTGTTGAAAATGGTAGAAATAGAATTAAAATTTCAATGCCAAGAGTTTCAAGGGGTCTGATGACACAGCAGAAGATCTGGAAGTATTAGGTAGCAGCAAAAGTAATAGCTGGAGAAAGAGACTCAGCCCCAAAGAGATCTGATGTACATCAGAGTTATGGTAAGATAGATATTAAAAATGGGATTAGGAGATGGAGTTGCTTCCAAATAAAAAGATGCCAGTTCAGCCAAAAAAGCAATAATGAGTTCATTGGTTCAGTATGTGTATACTTTGATAAGGAAAAAGAAATTTACTTATAATTTTGCACTGACTCACATGTCTACTGTGTGGGGAATAGCCTTACATTTGAGCTATGACAATCTGCTGTGTTGTGTTCTACCACTTAATAAAAGGATAGAAAACCACAAATAGTCTTTAATTGAAATCAGCCAAGAGAACAACTACACAGAAGGCTTTAGCACAGTGATACAACATAAACACTCTGTTCTAATGGAAGCCTACTCAGCGTTTCATTGACTGAATACAGTAGATTAGACAAAGTAGTCAGGAGAAAGTCTTTATTTTTATATTTTTGGGAAGAGCCAAAAAGGGATCCTTTGTGAAGAGGCTTTCTTCTTCCATGTTGTTTTTCAAATCTTGGTTAACAAATGTTTCAATAAATTTGATCAAAGTCTAATAGCTTGACTATTACAGAATTATGTTCTTGCTTTTTTTTTTATACCTTAGAAATTATTTGAGTCACTTCAGAGCTACTTTTATTGCTATAACTCCTATTATAGGACCAAACTGTAATGCATGTAAGTAAAACAAAAAGCACCATAATAAATAGTTCCTGAGGGCCCTCTGTGCATATGAATACATGTACATAATGAAGATTTTTTTGCACTGAGACTAACAAGCAGCCTCGTTGGCACCAGTCTGACCAGGACACAGTGGATGCACATGGTATAGGACTTTAATCTTCACTTCATGCCACAAATATTCATTGGGGAATCATCCTTTCAGATGAAGTTGGTTTAGTTGGTTGAATCTACCACTCATAGGCTGAGCAGAAAGCATTCAAACCAAGTGCAATTTGTTGAGCTATAGTAATCATTCAAATCTGAACAGAGTTGTTACTTTAGGCTCTTTGGATCAGATCAGCTCTATGGTAGTTATCAGACATTTTGTAAATGAAATGACCATGGCCAGAAATCCTAAGTAAACATTATGTAGCTTGTATAGTTAGGATGTGAAGCTAGAGGAAACCACTAGACAGGGAATAATTAAAGAAAAGAAGGCCTTAGAAAATTTTTTCGAAAAAAAGAGGGTGAGAATACAACTTAGGGAGACTAAAGAGATAATACTTACTGATAAAAGGAAGTGGGAACAATTGATGCTATCACAAATGAGCCAAACCATGCAGTAATGACAACAACTTGTCAGTTCAGTCGTCTAATGGAAAAGAAAATCATAGCACCTTCTGTTTTGTTATCAATATAATTTTCTTACCATCTTCTTTTACTATCCTCTATTCAAAGGCAAACTCATTGGTGGACACTCAGACACGATAGAGATAATTAATTGAACACATCAATGCCAAATATGAATATTTGAATGAGTAGGTTGATTATAGTACATCTGACCCGATCCTTATACTCTAGAAGTGTATATAAGTTCCTTTGGGCTCTCAGGATGGGAGAGTTCTTGATAGACTTCTAACTTCTGAGGGTAGGATATAAAGAAACTGTTTCCTTCAAGTCTTCAAATTTCCAAATGTTGTCTTGTGTACATTATATATGTGCTTATGAACCTAGGTCACTATGAATAACTATTTTAAAAAGCACTTTTATCTGTTCCCTTGTTTGCTCCTGATGACGATTCAGTGAGAGAGTTTGGCAAACTACTATCACTATTTTAGTGGCTAGGATACTGAGGCTCAAAGAATGGTGTCTTGTCTACAATCACACAACCAACAAGAAAAAGATCTAGGAAAAATCCTCATAGCTATCTATAACCTGTATCCCTGTTCTACTCACAGTGCATTATTATTATATTCTATGGAACATTTTTTCTGTATGAATATTAGGAACTTTTGAAAGTTAATATACAAATAGAGCTGCATATCAGATATATCAAGGATAATGTATAGAAGGATCTTATAACTTTTCCTTTAGCAACATGGAAATACTAATAATTTTTTAGTGAATGTGTCAAATCATCATCAAGAGTAGTATCTTTTTCTACAGAAAATCAGAGAAAACTAATAATCCTAGCTCACAATAGATTGCAACAATTTTTAGATGAATTCTGAAACAAAAGTAGCAACAGTTGGAGTTCTTATATGAGGCCTGTCCTCTACTGGACCATTGTTAAGCAATGCTTGACTGCACTGACACTATGTCACATGAAGATTTCCCAGGGAGCTTTTTAGTGACCTTTATCAAACAAGATGCACAGAAGTCTAAAAGACACTAAAGGGTATGAGTATAGCAAGAAAAGAAGTAGAAAGGTTATTGTAGTAAAAAAAAAAATATATTTAAACTAGACAGCATTCAATGATGAATATGATTATGTTAATGAGGAGCCATTTTCCAAAAAAGAGTTTGGATTTGGTATCTGATTTTGATAATAATAGGCATCTTTGCATAGAAAATAGAAATTCCTTTGTCTTATTGAAGGGTTTCTGAGGCTGTGTCTATCTTTTCTTAACCTCTTCCAGATATATTAAGAAATATCTTATAATAGCAAAATCTATTTCATTAACAAATAAACAGGAAAAGAATGCTTTTGTCTACATGCCTTTTCCTGTTTTTGGAATAGATGAAGATTTTTTTTTTCTGCTTTAGTTATTTTGTTTTTGAAAACTTTGGATGTGTTTGTAAATCATAAAATTATGTTTGTAACTCAAAAAAAATAAGAGTGTGTCTCCATTAATAATCCCTTCCAATTTTAAGAAGCAAAGGTTACTATTTGATTTGTATACTAGAAATTTTTATTTCCACTGAAAAAGAATAGCATCTTTGGCCCCTGCAAAAGTCATTATTCTAGAAAGTCTAATTTTGTCCCTAATCTAATCCACTTCCCTCCAGCAATATATTTGAATTGCTCTGTATGTTTCTATCTAGCAACTCCATTCTTAAAAAACAAACAAGCTAAAAACACAAAAACAAAATAAGCAAACTCTATTCTGTAAATAAAGAGCATTTTAACCCCAAGGACTGCCTATCAGAGTTTATTCCTCATTGTTACAGCCTGAATGATGACTCAGATTTGAAGTTCGCCTGACATTGTCCTAATTTAAATCCTGACTATTAAATGCACGTGGCCAACATCAACCATTGCCTCTGCACTGGAGAGTCAGGTTTCTGGAGAAGAAAACTGAAACTGCAAGAGAACTATGAGTCAAGAGATTAAATCCTGGCCTGGTGCTCACAGGCCTGTGTATTCGACTTTCTCAGCCTCTCACTATGTGGAACTTCTCTGAGTCTCAGTTTTCTTCTTGGTAAAATGAAGATGTTGTACTAAACCACTGTTTTCAAGGTCTTTTTAGCAGTTGAACAACTTTTTACAATAAAATCATCTCTAAAGCCCCAATGTAGAAACAGGAATGCAGAGGTGCACCCTGCATTGGATTTGGTATCAAGAGTAGGAGAGGTAAATCCTGCTGACTCAGACCCTTTCACTGTTCTCAGTGGTCCCATAGGTATTTCACCAAACTCTTGATTTCTGAAGAAGAAAGTTTGGAAAGGCATCAAATAATTTATTAGGGCCCCATATTACTTCCTGACCATCTACAGCTTATAAATACAACACAGTGACACAAGCAAGGAGTAGTTAGCTTTAACATGGCACTTGAACTTTCGCACAGCCTATTGTTTTAAAGAAGTAATTTCCAACTGTTTGTGAAAAGGACTATTTAAATTCTCCCTGAGGCTTCAGGTCACTGAAGTCTGGTGAAGTCTCCTGAGAGTGATGACAGTGTAGCCCCAAAGAGGTGTGAAATGACTTATAACTCAATAGTTGTTAATAACTCTACCCTCTTCCCAAAGAAGCTTGAAAATGGAGGTGGTTGAGGGCACTGAGTATAAAGGTAAGAGGTTACCTTGTCTTCTCTCTGGAACTCTGCCAGGCTCTGAAGAAAAGAGTGAAGAAAAGTCCACGGTGGTAATAATTGGCTTACATAGGGACTCTGCTTTCTACAGGTAGATTGTAATCTGAAGTTGAACAGTTCCATTTTAAACTTAATAACTTTAAAGTTGTAAATTCCAGAGACTCTCATTTGATAAATCATATGCAAATAGAACCCTTTCTCCACTTATGGATGATATCTTCATTCTATTCTCTTCCCTGATTATAGGATACTTTCTAACATCAAAATCTTGGCACAATCCTCATGTTGCCCTCAATTATAGTGTTTTATGACTCCCACCGTATGCATTCACAATTATATCCAAGTATGCTGAAGAGTCTTGTGCCTGTAAAAAAAGAAACCATATTTTTTCATATTCTTAGAAATGAAACACTCCTTTGTGCCTGTGGAAAATTGCTTTATGTATCATGAATTAATGATCAAGCACAGGAATGCAATATTGCTACCAACTAGTTGATTTTTTTTTTTAAGTCTGCATTTTTTTTTAAAGATTTATTTATTTATACAAGCACTGGGTACAGCCAGAAGTGTGGGAGGGTGAGAGAATTCACCAGAGCCAGAGCGGGGAGCAGAGCAGGCAGAAGGACCGAAGTACACTGCTGCGGGGAGCAGCGGGCGGCAGGAGAGGTCTGCGCGCCATGCGGGACCCTCCTCAGGTGGCCGGGGAGCAGCTGGGGATCGAACCAGCGCCACAGAGGCTGCGGGCAGCTTTGCAACCCAGCACTCAACCGCTGCGCCACCGGGGAGGCCCATAGTTGATTGCTTTTGATGATCAAAATGAAGAGGATTTCTCCTCTTCACCCGCAGCATTGAGGTGCCCAGGCAGAGCATTTGCAGTTCCTGAGGCTTGATCAAGAGGAAGTCCGCTGTGAAGTGTGGGGAAATTATGTTGCTGCTTCCTAGAAAGAACATGGTTTATTCATATGTTTTGATTCCCTCCTGGTACAGTGTGTGTTAAAAAAAGAATTCAGCAAGGCAGATGATAGTGGAGAAAGAGTTGCATTTTTACTGCAGTCATTTTTTGTTAAATTTCCAAATCCTTCCTCCATCCTGCTCTGCTTGTATTTTAACACTAGCCAAAGTCTGTTCATACTTGTGGCCAATGTTTATTATATTGTGGTTGCACTGTAGTATGTAAAGTAGTTATTAAGTACTGTGGTTATAAATCACTTGGAGAGACCTGTAACATTTTTACTGGTTTGTTCTGTTCTGTGTTCCTATTCATAGGATATCAATAACGAGAGTGACAGCTGACATTTCTCTTGCTAAGAGGTCTGTCCTAAATAATCCCAGCAAGAGAGCAATAATTGAACGTTCAAACACTCGGTCCAGTTTAGGTAAGATGTTCAACTGTGGTACTTCTCTAAGCTGCGCTTTCAGACAGGGATGATACATGTTGCATTTTGAATGTCATTTCCATTTTGCTCCCCCTTCTGATTGGGGAAATGCTGATTAACTGAGGAGAATGCCAGTCATAGAGAAAGAAGGGAACAGAGTCCTGTAGCAGCCAGTGCGTCCTCTCTCTCAGCTCTAGTCAATTAACTAATGAGTAGTCTGGTGGGGAGAAACCTCAGTGGGCTCTTCTAGCCTGCTACTGCCTAGCCACGTGAAACCACTCATCTCCACTTTGCCCAGGCTTCTCAATGAGGCTAATGATATCTGTCATACCTGAGTCACCGCTGACATGAAAGGAAATGAGAGGACATGAAAAGAAATGGTCTACCTTCTCAGTTCTTTAGAAGAAAGCTAGATAATGGTGTTCTTAGTGTTGCTTCTGCTGCTTGCTGGTAGTCAGAGTAGTCAGAGCTGTAAATGGAAACTGCAACACCATTAATGACATGCAGGGAGTTTAAACATGTCTTTTCTGGAGCACCAGTCAGAAAGCATCCTGAAGGTCACCATCCTGGAGAAGACAAAAATCACTATATGTGGTTAGCTTTATCAAGTCATGTAAAAGCAGGGTGGTGGAAGACTGAATCACCAACTACAGAAGCAAATCCATGCTGCTGGTGAATCATAGCCTTCATCTCAAAAGCCCATTTGTGGTTTCTGTGATTGTCTTGAGTGGTGTAGTCCACTTATCTTTTTTTTTTTTTTCCTCATTCACATACTGAGAGCAACTCAGAAAGATCAGGCTCTTCTGTGTCACTACATTTTTTAAAGTACCAAATTGAGCTCTATAGATGATAAAAATCTTTAAGAAAAATGTAGGATCTCCAAGGTAGAGTGAAAGCCCAAACATCCCATCAGGGACCTATTGAAGGCTTTGCTGAGCCAATAATTGTCCAGGTTGAAAAGAGGCTACACAATATGACCTCGATATTCCTGGAAAACACTGACACATGGTAACTACTCAATAAATTGTTGCATAGTTGCTTTGTAAGAGCATGCTAAACATAAAAAATGGAATAGTTGTTGGCACTTGTGTGGGCGAGATCTCAGATATCACTGGTTCCTCCTTTAGTCCTGTATTTAGAACCTTCCACATACAGAATGAAAAACACTCTTAAAAGCATAGTATTTTGACACTGAGGAGATGATGAAGGCAGAGTTGACAGTAGTGAGTCACATTAGGTAACTGAAGTCAACTGTCATGAATGACAAGGATGCCAAGTTAGATTAAAAATTTGATAAACAAGCATCTGTTTTCTGTTGCCTTCCACCTTCTTTCCTTCTCACTCTGTACTGTGACTTTTAACCACTCTTCTTCAGATGTATAATGAAAGGCTTAAAGATACTTCAAAGTATAAACTTCGTTACTTGACTCCATCAACCATCTGAACCAGCCAAGGGTTTTTTTGGTTATTCTTTGAAGTCATTTCATGTCATCTAGTCACCTGTTGTTAGAGTCAATGGAGTGAGTGGAGTTATTATAAATATTGAGTTAATAAACAAGTTCAGCTTACTGGTTTTCCCATTTACTTTTTAAAGTCATATGACCATAACTATTAGAGTGAATTTAATAGCAATCTATCATAAACCATTGTGTGAACCTCTTATGCCATTTGTTTGCATGTTAATGCACACTTGTAGATCCTTCACCAAGTGTTTACTGGCACTTTTTATGTGCCATGGGTTTTGCCTGACTTAGGAAATATATAGATACAGTTAAAGCAAAGTAGGCTTATCCATGAGCAAGCAGAAAGAAGGAACAGATAGTTAAAAATACTGTGAGATAATGAAATTATGAGCAAAGAGCTAAGGGTATAAAGAAAAGATAGAGAGTAAGAGGTGTCTGAAAAGATTTCACAGAAGTTACATTTGAGCTCATTCTTCAAGGTAGACAAGAATATAGAAAGGCATCAACATATTTAAAATAAACTTTGGTTGAGAAACAAGTAGTTTTTTGCATAGCATGCCATGGTTTTTGCAGGCCATGGGTTGAGAGCTACAGGAGATTGAAAAAGCAAATGGAAGTCAGTGTGCTGGGTTATAGTGTACCTTGCTGAAGAGATCTCTGAAATAGAATCCATGAAGTGTTCATTTTAAAAACTACTAATGATTGATATATCTAAATTTTTTTCCCATGTCAATTAAACTTGGAAATTATAGATTTACTGTTGGCAGATTTCTTTTCTGCAAAACTTCTTAGAGGCTTTGAGATATGAAATGTGATGTGCACATGAAATTCCAAGAGAAACTATTATAGTATACAATATTTCCCTGGCATAAGCCCCTACTTCCCACAGGATGTTTAATGGGTACCACTGAAGTAGTTTAAGCAACTGGATATCAGAAAGATCACAGGTAACAGAGCTGCTAAAGAGAAGTGGGTCCAAATCAGTCATGGTCAAGCAGTAGTCATCATAATCCATGATTTCTCAGATCTCCGTTTGTCTGGAATAAGATCATGACAAAAAAGCCCATTGGACACCTTCTGAGATAAACATGAATAGTAAAGATTTGGGGGTTTTGATTAAAATTATTCTTTAAGAAAATGAATTATCCAGGTAAATATGACTTTCTCTTCCTCACACATAATTTGTCTACTGCATTCTATATACATATTATTCAAATATGAGGCCCACTCCAGTGAATAAGGTGGCCCTCTGCAGCCTGCTGGCTTGCCCTGCCCCATTACCTGTCTGCTTACGCCAAGGTACCCATTGCCCAAGAGTATTTTAGTGGTTAAGCAGTAGGTGTGCCTGTCCTCTGCACCTGTAAGAAACCACATTTACCTCAATGCTGCTGCAGAGTAATTAAGAGCCAGATATTTCTGAGTTATTTACATAAGTGACTCAGAGAGCCTAAAGGATTCTTTGTACCAGGGCATTCCAGTTGGTGTCACTGCCTTTTTTGCTACATCATAGTCAGACTCGAAGCTTGAAACAATAGACTTGTTCTAGTACAGTCCTGGTCAAGAGTTCCTTTACCAGTAGACGTTTAATGAAAATAACAAATGGAGAGCATACACCAACAGTCTGAGGCAGAAATTTACAACAGTAAAAATAAACCTTCTTCTCCAAACGTGCTTCTGAACAGAAATTATTCTTTTAATTGTTTCTGACAATTATGAGAAAAAGGAAACAAGTGTTTCATTATTACTAACATACGTGATTTTAGAATTTTGCAAATAAGCCTAATTTTCCAAATTCTTTATATTGTTATTTTGAAAGTGACTTGCCTTTTAAAGCGACATGAAATTTTTCAGTCTGTTAATTTTGGACAATATGAAAAATAATAGATATTTGACTTTTTAATTCATACTTCTAATAACAGATTATGCAGTAAACAGTGATTTTGGTGGGAAGTAAGAATTGCATGCTAATTTTGCAAAATACAAGAAAATACTTACATGATAGTCTTGAGTATTCATCCCACACAACCTGTCAATCCCTTTTGTTACAAGGGGAGAATTTTTTGGTGGGTGCTGTGAACTTGAATTTGCAATGGATAAACAGAACAAATTATACGATCCTGGCAAAAGCCTTTTTCAATTAGGATATTTAGAGCTACATCATCTTTTTACTAGACCTTCTTGAAATAAGGTAATTAGATCATTTCTGTCTTAAGTATTAGAAGTTCATTTCTTTTGAAATAATTTATACCAGGCAGTTTTGCCTACTCTGTAATTTGGATGAGATCTTAACTTTAAATCATACTTATAACCAAAAAATAAAAATAAATTAAAAAAATCAAAATTACCTTTCTGAAAATTAGTCTAACTCAGACTTTTAGACATGACCCAATAAGTGAAGTAATTTATGAAATGCATATTAATTTTTTTACATTTCAGAAAGCCATATTATGTATTTAGAGATGATCTGTATTGCTTTTAAAAAATAACTTGATTGCTTCAGCAATAACTAGTTATTTGAAAATAACCAGATTTTTCATTTGACCAGATTCAAAACACACATTCAGGTCACTTGGCTGTTACTGCCAGCCAAATAAATTTGCATCTAGATGCATTGCATCATTTTAGTGTAGTTGGTCTTAGTTTGATTTTGTTTAAATATTGAAGATAATCATGCCTTGTAAAAGTTCATTAACCCTAATACTTGAATTAAGACTTACAAATATGCTAGTTGTAAGAGTAGACACAGAACATTTAACCAGTGATATAAAAAGGTTAAACAGATGAATTGTGGGATTTTTAAAACCTATATCCATAAAGTGTTAATAAGTTGTTGATTGATAAAAATTATTTCATTGTGACTTACTTTTCATGTGATGTTGCTTTGCACATATATTTCAGTTGTCTCCTAAATGTGTTTTCAACTTCTAAGATAAAATTTCTTAAGAACAGAACAATCAAAAACTACATAGCTATATAAATAGCTCAATATCAAGGTGAGTGTAAATTTAAAAAAATCTGTTTTTCCCACTAACTGTTGCGTTTTATGCAAATCTTAACCCATCTCTCTTCAGAAAAGAGCTTAAGATAGACAGGACTATGAAAATTCAAAATACTCTCTTTTGCGATGTAGATAAAACTATCTGAAAAGAATACTATTATTTAAACATAGTTATAATTTAATTAAAATAATTAGCAAAAACTAAATAGAATTAATAAAAAGAACCATAACCTGCTAATATTTTCTCCTTTCAGCGGAAGTACAGAGTGAAATCGAAAGAATCTTTGAATTGGCAAGATCCTTACAACTGGTTGTTCTTGATGCAGACACCATCAATCACCCAGCACAACTTATAAAGACTTCCTTAGCACCAATTATTGTTCATGTAAAAGTCTCATCTCCAAAGGTAATTAGCTCATTTCTGTCTTAAGTATTAGAAGTTCATTTCTTTTGAAATGCTATTTGCTCTGTATTTGTATTAGTGGGCAGGAAGATGTCTTGTTGAGACTGCTTTAATGACAGCTTTTAATTCTATCAATCTGAACAGAAGTGAAATAGTAGATAAAGAATAGCCCATTTCTTTAAGAAGCTCACTATCTATTGGGTTCCTAAACCAGGCAGTTATGCAAGAATATAGTAGAAATAAAAAAATTAAAAAAGGTTAGGCACTTTGGAGTCTATGTTGGTAAATTTCTTGGGTAATATTGAGTCTTGTATGACTTAAATTCTTTCCCCAGTTGAGAGAGTACATCATTCAAGAAAGGTATCTGTATTTATAAATACATAAATTAAAATTGATGATGGAAATGTTATAGACCCTTACATTTGTGTTCATCAAAAAATAGAGTTATTCTTGATTAAGCACAATGGCATTTATATGACGTATCTTCACACCACCACAGGACATAAGTGTAAAAGTGAGATAGCCATTAGATGGTCCCCTTTGATTTGGGGGTACTTCATTTAAAAAGCCATGTTCAAATATTGTTTAAAAATGAACAATGATCGAAAAAAAATTTAAAAATTAAAAAAAATAAAAACAACAACAAAAAGTCATGTTGTTTAAAAAGTGAATATAAAATCAATACCTTTGGGGGGTACAACCTTAGTAGTCAGTTTCTTTTCAAGAGTGCATTTTAGTTCAGAAATGCCAGTTCAGTTTCCAACTAGAGCAGTAATCTCCTCCTAGGAGTAGAGAATGTCTGAAGAAATTGTGCCTTTCCCTAACCCTTCTGCTGACCTCACCCTTCCATTCTATGGACTCTAGTTCAGCATCAGATAAGCTTGGGAATTCTGATCAAAGCAGAACCTTTTGGGAATCATCAGAGTGGCCTTGACCATCTGGAGATATTTTTGACCCAGAACTAAAGGGGATTCAAAAACCCTTTACTGTGGTGGAATAGATTTTTTTTAATGATTTATTTATTCATGCATACAAGAACCGGGGTACAGGCTAGATGTGTGGGAGGATGAGAGGATTCACCAGAGACAGAGTGGGGAACAGAACAAGCAAACTGACTGAAATACACTGCTGAGGGGCCAGCGGGTGACACAGGAGAGGTCTGCCGCACCATGTGGTTATCTCCCTGGCTGCTGGGATCGAACCTGTGCTGCAGAGGCTGCGGACAGCTTCACAACACTGTGCTCAACCACCTGCGCCACCAGGGGAGGCCCTGCAGTGGACTAGATTTTAATACCCTTTATGCCCTGCCCCAGACACCATGCAATCCATGTAAGTGCAGGATCTGAGACTGGCATGGACATATATGTTGAGGTATCAGTACTAGCTCATAGGCTACTACTGTTTTGGGGGGAGGATCCAGTTTCAATTAAAATAATAATTAAGGAAGGAAGGAATATATAACAAAATATAGCTACAGCAGTATCCCAAGAAACATAGATGTATCACTGGTTTATGTGTAGCAATATGCCAGCACACATGTCTTGCCTAGATTTCTATCATGAAATGTGTTACTATATAAAATTAAAATGAAATGTTTCAAAAATTATCAGTGACAAAAGGGCTAAAATATTGACGTCCCATTGAGGTAGTGAGCCAAAATATTACTCAACTAAATTGGGACTTACATCCCTAGTACAGATGACATCTGCAGACCCCACTTTTGTAGAGCTCTCTTTGAAATCTTTGGGTAAAATCTAGGGCAGAACTCAAGATCCCACCAAGATATCACGTGGCACACATAAGATGAACATATCAAATGCTGTATAACTAAAACCCTGTGTAAGTGGAAGATATCATTACAGTGTGTGTGTGTGTATGTGTGTGTCATTTGCCACTTTACTTTTCCTTTCAATTAGAACTGAGGGCTAAATAGACTTTGATAATGATCTTGGTTTATTTGGTTTTCTTTCAACTCCTTGACAGAGGCTCAGATTCATATCTTCTTCCATTAGGTTTTACAACGGTTGATTAAATCTAGAGGAAAGTCCCAAAGTAAACACTTAAATGTTCAACTGGTAGCAGCTGACAAACTTGCACAATGCCCCCCAGTAAGTATCCTTTTTGTTTTGATCATTCTCGACTAGTTTGGAGAGAGTAGTGGGGTTTGTTTTCTTAAATTAGTATTGTTGTTTTTATGCTGTTGGGATGGTATTTTGTCATAAATTTAAAAAATTTTTCAAAGCAATGGCTGCTGATGTGTTGCTACATCCAAGCACCCAGAGCTGGCTGGTGGCTGCCGGGTCATAACAAATGAACTTAGTGTCCTGTGTCAGATGTCCTTACTGCTGCCTCGCAAACACTCAGTGAGCTACTTACTCCAGTCATGTGGACATTTTTGTGAAAAGAAAAGAACAAATGAAACATACTTATTTGACTTTCTTTAACTTTTCTGCCAGAAAGCTCTGGCAGACATAAAAGATTATGACATTGAAAGCTGAGAATTTATTAGAATTAGAAAAGTACTTTGGTTGTAGCTGATGAAGAGGTCAGGGTTAAGTAAGATGAAAAAACATGTAATAGCAACTTTTTGTAGTGTTGTTGCCAAAAAATAGCTGCTGAGTCGGAAGCCAAGCAAATGGTGGGTGGATGAGGTTGTGGGAGTAATTACTATCAGGGTGGTCACCAGTGGCCAGTCAATATCTACACCAGCTCAACCGACTTTCTATTTCTGTGCCTGTGCTTCTCTAAAGGAAATAGCTGATTTGATTCACTGTATGTTTTATATACTTATATAAGGATTCTATATTTTGTGTGGAAACATAAAATCTAATTCAGATATTTAGAGAGGCAATATAGCATAGGTGTTAAAGTATAGACTCTGTAACCAGACTGCCTGGCTTCAAATCCACACTAACTGGTTTTGGACTCTTGAATAACTACCTACTTCATTGGGTTGGTGCAAAACTCAGTGAGTGAATATGTGGTAAAACTTTTAAAGCACCTCCTGGCATATAAGCAACATCTATGTGTTTCAGTTATAATTACTGGGTGCAACTTTGAGCTATGCCATGCCTGGCCTGTCTGGTTCACTGGTATTTCTCAACTCCTTATCATCTCAGGCCCACAATAAATATTTATTAAATGAGCAAATAAATGAAAGGATGTATAGGCAGTAAGAGTCATATGCATTCTTTTTTAGATTCTTACAATGGGTCAAACACTATGCTAGATGCTTTACACAGATTATCTCTAATCCTCACAGTTACTCAGTAAGGTAGATAGTATTCACCATTTTATAGTTGAGGCAACTAAAGAAAGAGAAGTTTAATGATTTCCTAATTTCACACAGCAAATTAGGATTAGGTAGGGACCTATTTCATTTCAAAGCCAGTTTCCTCCCCTCAGAGCCCCACCCACCCACCTACACACACACGTACATATACACAACACACACATACACACACACCTAGTTTCCTACCCTTTGATAATTTGAGTAACTTGGGACCAGAGTGCTGTGTTAGCAAGGTTAACTTCATGTTACCTACTGATGAAATACACTCACACAATGTGTATATAAACACAGTGTGACTATGGAAGAATCTATTATCCTGCCCCTGACTCTGTAATTCTTCCCAATTGAAGAAAGCTAACCTCTGTTGAGCAGCTACCAAATGCCAGAAACTATGCTACTATTTCCAATATTTGGGACAATCTTATAAGAAGAGCTGTATCATTTTGGGTCTTCTGGAAAGCAGACATCTCAATGGAAGTGGAAGTGAAAATATATTGAAGAAAATATCTATGACAGATAAAGGGAAAAGGGCACAGAACCAGCAGAAGCTCCTACAGACTTTTTGAATAGAAAGGGGTAAGGAAGGAGAAATAGATAGAAGGAGCCTCAGACTGTGATGGAATTCAGTCAATTAGCTAGAGTGCCCCCCAGGGACAGAAATATTCAGGGTCCAGTTCCCATTCTGTGCTCAGACTCTGGCTGGCCGCAGCCTGGGGTGGGGGTTGGGGAGGTTCATCTTGAATGCTGCCCTGGTTCCTTAAAGTATACCAGGCTGTGATGACCACAGTTACCACAGGAGGTCTCACTTAAGGGAAAGTCTGATCCTGCACCTCTATAACCACCCTAGTAGGTAACATTATTCCTTCTTTATAGAGGAAAAAGCTAAGTCCTTAGTTAAAAACTTGTTAAGGGAAGAATTAGTAAATGACCTCCAACATTTCAACCCTAGATTTGTCTGATTCCAACAAGCTTCTGTCTGCCCTGCAATCCTGCCTCAACTCATAACTGCAATAGTATAGACAAATCTCTGGTTTCCAACTTCTCTGTGTAAGAAATACCTCTTTTTCTACTTTGACCTCTATCCCACTGGACAGACAGGATATTCAGCCATGCTTGCAGCTGCCTTTAACTCAAGTCCAGGGCAGGTGGAATGCCAAGAGGTGAGAGTAGGTTGGTGAAGACTTTGAGGGAATGGGGTGAGGAGTTCCAATTCAGACAACCATTGTCAAGTCCATGTGCTCCTTGAGAATGGATGCTCTACAACATCATACCTCATCTGGAACAGGGGATCTTTAGCAAGAGAGGGAGACACATAGCCCCTGCTCTCTGGGACATTAGCTAGAGAGCTCCCTTTTATTCTCTGTCTGTAGGATGGGAGGTGTCTCCCTCTTTTCCCTTCATGTTTCTATTAGAGGAATTTCCTCTCTGCTCATGTTGTATCTAAAAGCATCCCTACCTTCTTTGGTTTCCAAAGGCAGTCAGTAAAATCTCTCCAACCAATTTAGGCTTTTGGGAAATAAAATCCAGAAAAGGAAATGGATAGCTGGCTGTTTCCTGCCACAATCCACCACCATCAGACAAGGAAGCAGAGACCCTGCCATCTGATTGAATGGTGGAAAAGAAAGGGGAGAGAGGCAAAAGGAAAACATAAGCTAATATGTCAAAACTCATTTGTTGTGTCTGTCTTCACAAACATAGAAAGATTTACACTCTTAGGACACTCAGTTTTTGTTAGGTCCCAGAAGTGGTGCTAATATCAGTGGGAGTGTCAGGGATCACTTCTGGAAGGACTTGAGAGCAATTAGGCCTGTCTGATATGATTAGATAGATGGATCAGACTGAAGCACTAGAAGGAAGACACTTCATAAGTCTGCTCTTCAGCAGATGCTGGTAAGAATGAATGGCTTTCTATATATTTTTTTTTTAAACAGGCATGTATTTTTTTTATTTATTTGTTTGTTTATTTGTTTTGTTTGATTGTTTGTTTATACATGCACTGGGTACAGTCAGAAGCGCGGGAGGGTGAGAAAATTCACCAGAGCCAGAGCGGGGAGCAGAGCAGGCAGAAGGACCGAAGTACACTGCTGAGGGGAGCAGCGGGCGGCAGGAGAGGTCTGCGCGCCATGTGGGACCCTCCTCCGGTGGCTGGGGAGCAGCCAGGGATTGAACTGGCGCCGCAGACGCCGCGGGGAGCTTCGCAACCCAGCGCTCAACCGCTGCGCCACCCGGGAGGCCCCATGAATGGCTTTCTAAATAGTGAACTCCCTGTCTTCAACAATATTCAACTGGAGATAGATTGAGCTTGGCCTGGGCTCCATGAATAGAGATGTTGTGGAAAGAATCTCTTCTGCTGAAAGCTAAAGGACATGGTACCCAAGATCTTTCTCACCTCTAAGACTAATTCTGTCTGGATTTTGGAAGTCATCAGTGTAGAAATATTAGCAAATCATGAGGCTGTGAGACCCACAGAACAGGAGAGTATAAAAATATTTTGAAGACATCCAATCAGGAGACATCCTCACTGTTTCAAATCATCATTAAGATCAGCTGCTTCTATAAAACAACATATGGGCATGTCCAAGGGTGTGATATCCATGTCTACCCATGTGTGGTCACATCAGTCAAACTCAAAATATTTAGTCATCTCGGGGCCTCCCCAGTGGCGCAGCGGTTGAGCGCTGAGTTGTGAAGCTGCCCGCAGCCTCTGCAGCACCGGTTCGATCCCCGGCTCTGCTCCCCGGCCACCCCGGAGGAGGGTCCCACATGGTGCACAGACCTCTCCTGCCGCCTGCTGCTCCCCTCAGAAGTGTACTTCCATCCTTCTGCCTGCTCTGCTCCCCGCTCTGGCTCTGGTGAATTCTCTCACCCTCCCGCACTTCTGACTGTACTCAGTGCTTGTATAAATAAATAAATAAAAAAACTTAAAAAAAAAAAACTAAAAAAAATATTTAGTCATCTCAACTCCATGTGACTCACCTACAACCACCCTTCTTTGACAAGGATTAAAGTACTTTGATCAAATATTATTTAAGCATTAAGCCTGGGGATGCAAAAGCATGTTCTGGCCTTTAGGAAGTGTATAATGTAATAAGATTATATATACTTTTTTCTTTAAATTTTATTTTTATATTCCCCATACAATTGCAATCCCCTTATTTTGACCGCAATCCCTCCCCTCCCCACCCCCCACCACCCATAGAGTGTCTCTGGTTCATAGTTGTTTGTTGATTTTGATTTTCACTTTCTGTAATGAGATTATATATAGCTGAGTCAGCCTTTGGCAAAAAAATTGATAGATCATAAATTACTTCGTAAATCTCTTATTACACAAATTACAAAAGAATAATTTTTTAAAAAGATTTGTTTATTTATTTATTTATTTATGCAAGCACTGGGTACAGTCAGAAGCGCGGGAGGGTGAGAGAATTCACCAGAGCCAGAACGGGGAACAAAACAGGTAGACCGACAAAATACACTGCTGAGGGGAGTAGCGGGCGCGGCAGGAGAGGTCTGTTGTGCCATGTGGGACCCTCGCCTGTAGGCGGGGATCAAACCTGTGCTGCAGAGGCTGCGGGCAGCTTCACAGCCCAGCGCTCAACTGCTGTGCCACCAGGGGAGGCCCACAAAAGAATAATTTTGATCAGGTTTCTCTACCTCCATAAACATCTTAGGTTGGGTGATTCGTTGTTGTGAGGATCTTTCTTGTATATTGCAGCATGTTTAGAAGCACCCCTGGCCATTAGCATCCCACAACTTGTGACAATCAAAAATAGTTTCCAAACATTGCCCAATGCCCCTAGGGTCAAAATCATTTCC